AGTAATAAACAAAGTTCATAATGGAACATTTTCTTTAACCGTACATGAACTTTCCTTTCATTAAATTTCTCTAGTCAGGTAAATAGTTGATTTGGTCATCTTTTAAGGGATTACAGGGGTTTTCTCGGGTAAAAATCAGACTTTTTTTCAAAACTTTTTTCTTGAATAAAAAATTAAATATTTTATTAGAATTTTTTATTTTTACAAATACATATGCACTATTAACAAAGAAATTCTGAAATATATAATATAAAATATTATATTAATCTCGGCCATTGCGACGCCATTTCGACGCACTTAGCCTAGCTAGCCTCGAGCGCACAAGTTATCAAGGCTGTATTTCCGAAACAATTATTCGGATCAACTTAGGGCAATATTCTAGAGGTATTGTAGAATTGAATAAGACAATAAAAAAATCGATTTTTTCAAACTCGCAATCCACTTAATCAAAAGTTTATTTTTTCAATATTTTTGAATAGCCAAGAACTTTTTATGAAGTTGTGACAAGTTTATAATCTAATCCGGCTGTTCCAGGGCTTCATCATCTTTTATCTAGAAGTTGAAGCTTTGTGGTCCGTCCACTATCAACATTACGTTAAAGTAACTTTGTAGTATATCCGGTGTGGCTTGTGTCCCAAAACCTGAGGTGTTACTCTAGGGTTCATTGCTGCAAATAACTGTTGAGGGAGCTGAATGGATTAGGGCAATTTGTAGTAATTGTGTCTCCAGCTTCTGTCTTTTCATTTCCTTCTATTCCTATATGACCAGGTACCTGGATGAAGTTAATGGAATTACCTACTAAGAATCCAGTTGTATATAAGACGCCCACTTCTGTTCCTAATTCTCCTGTAGAACCGTCAGTGAATATATAAGTAGATTTCGCCGTTGGAACAGTCGATCAGCGAACTATTGGTCCATTCTTCTCTATTGGCGTATGCAAAGGTTGTGTGTACTTCGTCTTAGTAGGGGATATCACTTAGTGCCAACTTAACTCGAGTTCGTTTAAAAATTCGAATATGATACCAGGCCCATGATGAAGAGGAGTCTGACTCCAATCATCTAAAATTATGAATCGGCTGGTCGTATAAAGCAGTGCCTCTTACTTTACTTTTATATACATATATTGGCCGGATATCAAGATTAGTCTTTAGCGCCTTAGTTGACTTACCAAAAATGGGGGAAAAATATACCATAGCGACATATGTATATATTTTTTATATCATCAGCAAGTAGTGATTATAATAAATAAAAAATACTGAAAATATTGATATTTTGATATGGGAATTTTTGATTGAAAATTCGTGATTTTTTGGTTTTATGTCGAAATTAGGTTTCTCTCTAAATATCAACTAGCGAAAATGTTCGAATGTTACCGATGGAAAAGGACATATCTGAGCTTATATATTCACTTAATAATAATAATCGTAATAGTTCAAATCGTATATGTTCAAAGCCACTTATGTATGTACATATGTATGTATGTATATTTATGTATAAAATTACGTAAAAATTCGCTTTTCCTTTACTAGGTAAAAACCGCAAAAACAAAACAATTTTGCCCAATGCTTATTTGTATATTAATTAATTTTGTTCCCATATGACTTAAGAAAATATACTAAATTTACGTAATATGTATTTGCTGAAAGTAATTCAACGGTTGTTATTTGTTATTTGATTTTCCAAAATTTAACTAAGTAAACAAGCTGTTCGGTACACAAATATTTTCTTATATTGTTACGATGTCCTTGAAGGTGGACACACAAAGCAATACGACCAAAAACACTTAAGAAATCATGCGTAAACAATGCCAATCGCCAGTCGAAAACAACTAGCGATGATCCCTTCAACACGTGCCGTGCAGGATGTTTCATGAAAATGTTCAATGTACGGCGGTTTTCGATTAGCCGCTTAAACTACAAAGAAAGGTAGAAGCGACGCGTACATAATTTCATTTAACAATACACGTATGCATGCATATACCTGCACACATACATACATACATATGTAACGAGTTTGCGGCTTTTCAAGTGTTGCCAAAATATGTTTCATTTCTATCCTTTTGTATTTGCTTGTTGTTTGTTTGCCATTCTCGACACATTGTAAGGAACAAATACAACATAACAAATGGCAGACATACGAGTTGAGGTATATATGTATGTATATATTTATTTACATGTTTGCACGAATGTGGACACATAGCGAAGGAGCGCGAGGAAGTTTTTACGAACAATTGTGATGCCATGTGTCAATTATATTAATTCGGAATAGGGTTTCGAATTTGTTAATTAAAAACATTGGTTATTAATTCGATTTTCAATATTTTATTTCTGTTTTGTGATTAAAAACTTATTCTTAGAGACTAAAAATTTAAAATTCAATTATGACAACGGTCAACACACGATTTTGGGTCCGACTACTGCATTTTACATTGCAGTTTCTCCTACAAAAAAATAAAATA